TTATTATTATATATTTGTTAATAACCTATATATAATAAAAGTAAAAAAAACTTTTATTAGGTAATATACCTATAAATATTATGGGTTAGTTGTTATAGATAAAAGCCTAATAACAGATTTAACCTTCAATTTGATCGTATAATCAGTATAAGAATTTTACTAAAGAAACACATTGTATTGAAATTGGCATAGAACTGTGTAAAATACCACATATTTCTGAACATTGTCCATAGAAAGTACCTTCTCTATTTAAATAAATAGATGATTGATTTAATCTACCAGGATATGCATCACATTTTATACCTAAGGATGGTACAGCAAATGAATGTATTACATCAGCACCTCCCACAACAAATCTTGTATGTGTTAATTCTGGCATTATAACTCTATTATCTACTTCTAACATTCTCAATTGTCCTAATTCTAAATCACTTTCAGGTACGATATATGAATCAAATTCTATTGATTCTTCATCATCGTTTATAAAATCTGGATATTGATAACTTCAGTATCATTGATGACCCTCTCCATATATTACTAAAGATGGATCTATTACTTCATCCATTAAATATAGTAATTTAAATGATGGAAATGCAATTAATATTAATATTAAAGCAGGAGTAATAGTTCATATTAATTCTACTAATGTTCCATGATTTATATATTTATTTGATATTTTTTTATTTTTAAAATTTATAATAATTGATATCATCATTCAAGTTACTGAAAATAATATAATTGCTAAATAAAACATAATGTTATTATGTAATTCTTCTAGTCCTTCCATTTGAGGTGTTGCATTATCTTGAAAAAAAACTCCTCATGGCTCAGGTGTATCATTATGAGTTACAAATATACTTTCATTTGTATTATATACTCTTTCTTCTAAAATAATTTGTATAGAATTTTGTGTTTTTTCCACTGGAAATAAAATATTATTAATATATTAGCCAAAAATAATATGCAATATGTTAAATGTAAAATTGTATATAATATACATATCTTCATATTCCAACTTCTTAATTAAAACTATTTTTTTTTTACTTAAAATTTTAATTAGTAAACTACATTAAGATAAAAAATTAATAAAATTATTAATTTTTTATAAATTAAGCTAAATGAGATAATCATTAAATCTAATATGAAAAATTATGATATATGTATACTATATAATAAATAGTATGTATAGTAATGTAAACCATCTAAAATAATAGAAGGATATATACCTAATATAACAGTAAATAAAACTAATACTATAAGCATAAAAAATTCTCTTCTATTTATATCTGGTAAATATTGAGATCAATATTTAAAGAAGATAGATCCTGCAAAACCTATTCTATTAAACATAAAAATAGTATAGGCGGCGGAGAAAATAATAGATGATGAAGCTAAAACACCAGCAATAGGTAATCTTTCGAATACTCCGTAAATAGACATGAACTCTCCTACAAAATTTAATGTTAGAGGTACACCACAATTACCTAGAGATAAAATGAAAAATAATATAGAAAATATAGGCATTATTTGAGCTATACCTCTATAATAAGTTATCAATCTAGTACCTGATCTATCATATAATACACCACCAGCTGAAATAAATAAACCTGATGATACAAAACCGTGAGCTAACCCTAAAGCTATACCCCCTTGTATACCTTGTAAAGTATTACTAAATATACCAGCTAAATAAACAGCAGCGTGTGAAACAGAAGAATAAGCAATTAATTCTTTAACATCAATAGTTCTAAGTGTACTAAGGCTAGCATATATTATAGTTAATACAGCTATTAGGAATACAATATATGTATAATATAAAAATGCTTTAGGTACTAAAGGTAATATTAATCTAAAAACACCATATAAACTTAATTTCAATACTATAGCCGCTAATATTATACTACCAGATAATGGTGATTCAACATGAGCTCTTAACAATCAGCTATTTAAATAAATAGTTGGTGTTTTAACAGCAAAAGCTATAAATATTCCAATAAAAATAAATACCTGTGTTATATAAACAAAATTTGTTTTTGTTAAAACATTAAAATCAGTACAACCTATTAAAGATTGCATAGTTACAATAGATAATAGCATAAATAATGAACCTAAAAATGTATATAAAAAGAAGTAAAAACTTGCTCTTATTTTAGCACTTGATCCAAATAAACCTATAAATATAAACAAAGGAGCTAAAATACTTTCGAAAAAGATATAAAACATTAATATATCTAATACTAAAAAAATCATTAACAATAATGTTTCTAATAATAAAATTATTGATATAAAGTATTTTACTTTATTATCTATGGATTTTCAATTAGATATTATAGCAATAGGCATTATTAATGTTGTTAATAGTATAAAATATATAGATAAACCATCTATACCTAAATAAAAATCATAATAACCTATTATATAATGTTCTTGTACAAATTGAAAGTATTTATTACTATTATCAAATAATAATCATATTATTAATGAGATAATTAATTCCACCATTGTAACTGTAAGACCTAAGATTTTTATTGCTTTAGTATTTTCATGTAAATCATACGAAAAATATGAAAATATTAAAAATATACCAAAAATAGGAAGTAAAACTAAACTTAATAATAACATAAAAAAAAAAATTATACAGATTTTTACTACATATAATTTATTCTAAATTTATAACAATTAATATGTTATAAGTTTAGAATAATAAGTAACATACTTTTTATAACTACAGAGAATATCCGATTCGAACGGATGTGATTTTTTAATCAAATAAGTTTCAAGCTTACCGCTTTAAACCACTCAGCCAATTCTCTTTAAACGTTTTTTTAAATTATAATTATATAGTTAAAAAACTAAATAACTATGATTCCTCGATGAATTGAACATCGAACACATCCTTATCAAGAATACGCTTTACCATTTAAGCTAAGGAACCTATATATATTATAAATATATATATATATATAAACAAGAGCATTCAGATTTGAACTGAAAACAGGAAGTTTGAAGCTTCTTATTTTGCCAATTAAACTATACTCTTATTAAGTAAAATTTTAATTAGTTTTTACTCTTATTAACTAAAATTATTTAGTTTTTGTTCGGAAAAGGAATGATTTGAACATCCAGGTGCAACGCACAATATTTAGCAAATATCTTACCCTACCAATGGCGACTTTTCCTTTATTTTTTTATAAAAAAAACACGAATTAGGCCGGCTTCGACCCGGCATCCTTTTCCTCGACAAGGAAACACTTTACCAATTAAGATTACTAATTCTTTTTACTATTAATACGGCCAGTCAGACTCGAACTGACACTCTTCGTTTGGAAGACGACGGGTCTACCAATTAACATATAGCCGTTAATTACCAAGTAAATAAATATATTAAGATTAATATATTTAAAGAGGTTTCGGGCTACTAAGATTCGAACTTAGAAGATCCTCAACCCAAATGAGGCGCCAAACCAACCAGGCTCTAGCCCGTGTACCAGAAGGGAAATTTGAATTCCCATCGTTAATGCATGAAATTAAAGTTCTAACCAATTAAACTATCCTGGTTTATATTCTTATCTAAGATTCGAACTTAGATCTAAATATTAGAAGTATTATGCTTTACCATTAAGCTAATAAGAAACTAGGAGAGAAGAGATTCGAACTCTTAAAAGCAAATAACTATTGAGTTTACAGCTCAACCCTTCTTACCAATAAAGGAACTCTCCTTTTTTTGATGTTTTTTTCTTATTAAGGCCTAAGGGGCTTGAACCCTCATAATAACGATTAAAAGTCGTATGTTCTACCAATTAAACTAAAGCCTCCTTTCCTTTATTACTTTTCTTTATTAATATTTTTGTTTAATAGTTATAACTATAGAACCTACCATAGCTAATAATAAAATAATAGAGGTAATTAGTAATCATATAGAATAGTTAGTATACATAACATTACCGATACTAGTAATATCAGTTATATCAACTAAATTACTATCTCAATTATTAGAAGAAACGAAAAAAATATCTACAGGATAAAAATTAGTTTTTGTGTCTGTAGTTAAATTATTATATGGTATAAATAAAGCTAAAATAGCCAAAATGGCTAAAGGTATATTATTATTAGTGTTACTTATAAGTTCTGAAACTCTAATATTAATAAGCATTAATATAAATAAAAATAAAATAGATACAGCACCAACATAAACTAAAAGATAAGACAATCCTATAAATTTGATACCTAGAAAGATTAAATAACATGAAATACATGAAAATAGCATTATTAAGTGTAAAACTGATACTATTGGATTTTTACTAATAATTGTAAATATACCAGCTAGTATAGATAAAATAATAAAAAAATCTAGGAATACAACTGAAAAACCGTTAAAAATTTCAGGGTATAGATAAGTATTCAATATAAAAGCAAAAATAATCTTAAAAAGAATTAAAACTAATAAATTCTCTGTTGGAATCGAACCAACATATAAAACCATTGAGTGTGATGTAGATTAAAAATCTACCAAATATAAAAATATATTTAAATTTTAAGGATAATACATCCCGTGCAATTTCCATTACACGAACCATATTTCGACTTAACACCAATCGAAGTCACGCATACGAAAATCGCATATCTAGAAATTTACAACTATTTAAGTAAAAAAAGAAAAGATATGCAACCAAACTTATTGCGCACACTTCTTTCAGCGCCTGACGAGTAGTTAGTACCCATCTGAGATAAAATTCACCGTGACGTGGTGATTCACGATTACTAGTAATTCCGTATTCATGTAGTCGAATTTCAGACTACAATTCACGATTAGTTATATCCAATTTTATGGGATTAGCTCCATTTTGCAATATTGCATCCCTTTGTAGAGGTATATGTGGCACGTCTATAGCCCACGTTATTAAGGCCATGATGACTTGTCTTGGTCCCTATTACTTTTTCCCTTTATGGAAAAATACTTTAAAAACAAGTAAAGCAAGGGTTTTCGTTAATTAAAGGAATTAACCAAAATCTCACGACATTAACTGAAGACAGCCGTGCAGCGCTTGTAATATTTATAATATTATTCAAAACGTGGTAAGGTTATTCGCGGATCATCGAATTAAATAACATACTTCACTACTGGTTTCAGAAACGGTCTAATGATTTCAATTTGTGCATTTCCGCCTTAGTCATGAGGTGGAGTGCTTACACTTTCGTTTATAAACTAAATCATTCTAGTTTATGGCACTCATCATTGTCTCCAAGGACTACTAGGGTATCTAATCCTTATCGCTGCCCAAGGCTTCGTCCCTCAACGTCAGTTTTTACTTAGAATATAGCCTTCGCCGTTACCCGTCCTACCAGTATCATAAAATTTTGACTCTCCTCTGGTAATTCGTATATTCCTACATAAAACTCTAGAATACTAGTTCCTAAAATAGCTTGGTATTCTGTCTAGGTACCCTTTATACCGATTAAAGATGAATAACACTAGTCTTCTACGTATTACCGCGACTGCTGGCACGTAATTTGGTCAAGACTTATAGATAAAAAATAGTCATTCTCTTTATTTTATCTAGAACTTTATATGACTTAATCATTTTTCGTTCTTCCAAGTTGCTGGTTCAGCCGTTTGGCTATTGACCAATATTCCCCACTGCTGTGCAATTATGCCCTGGGCTTTTTTCAGGCCCAGTGTGGTCGATCGACCTTTCAGTCTCGACTACCGGATCTTGAGCTAGATTTTCTCTACTACTCCTCCGGGATATTTACTAACATCTTAAAGCGAATTTTTATTTTTCTTTTTTGAATTATAAGGGATTTTTTCTTCCTTACTTTAAGGTAGTTAGAATACCTTTTACTCACCTGTACACCACTTCATATTAAATATAAATTTAATAATTATTAAATTTATATTTAATTAGACGTTCGATTAGCATGTGTCAAGCATTTGGATAGCGTTCATTCAGAGCCATCATCAAACTCTAATTAACTTAGTATAAGTAATTTATACTAGACTTATATTATCTTTCTTTTTTCTATATACCTTAGGTTTCATGTAAGCTAGTTCTTGTCCAAATATACAAATCCTAAATACAGCTAAATATATATTGTTTTGCCCGATATTTATTTTTAAAATATTTATTTTCTTCTTGTAAAAAAGACTTTTACCTTTATTATTTATATATTAATATATATCTAATTAGCTCTAACTTTTCTATTTTGTATATAAAACAATCATATATATCATTTTTCCTATTTATTTTCGTTATTTTTTTTTTAATGTAAATCTAAGCTATCTTTAATATAAGATGCAGATAATACTACAAAAACTTGTGCTTGGATAAATGCAATTCCTACTTCTAATACTGAAAATGCTAGTATAAATAATAATGGAACCAGACCTAAAATGAAATATATAATACCTTTTTTCATTATATTATATGTAAATCCACCTAATATATTTAAAAGCATGTGACCACTTAATATATTTGCACCTAATCTTAATCCCAATGATATATTTCTAGATAGATATGAAATAAATTCTATTAATACTAGTAGAGGAAGTAAACCTAAAGGACAACCAGATGGTACTAATAATGAAAAGAATTTTAATGAATGTATTTGGAATCCTAAAATTGTAGCCCCTATAACTATTGTGAAACTTATAGAGAATGTTAATATAAAATGTGATGTTGGTGCAAAACTATAAGGTACCATACCTACTAAATTATTTATTAATATGTATATAAATAATGCAGAAATTAACGGGAAAAACATTTGACCTTTTTTTGCATTTATTTGGTTTACTACAATACTAAATACAGTTGCATAAATTGATTCTACTGATAATGATCAATTATTTGGTGTAACTATATTATAGTTAGTTGCTAATAAATATAACATGAAAATTATTATAGTTGTTATTATTAAATATAAACCTATATTTGTTAAAGATAAATGTATATTACCTAATATGTCTGCTTTTATACTAAATAAGTTTCTTATTGTAAATTGGTCTAAAGGACTTTGATTTAAATATGTCAAATTATATATTTATGTTTTTTATTGTTTGTAAGTGAAATTTAGTTTTATATTTGTATAATAATTTTTATTATTATTATTACTCATAGTAATATTATATAAAGAATACCGCCAAATAAAACTTAGATTTAAATCTAAATATAAGTTTCAATCTGACTTTTTTTCTAAGAAATTCTTAGAAAAAAAAAAATTCTATAAATTAAGCTGTTGTATTTTTATTAGATTCTAATGTTTTTAAAAAAACACGAGTTCTGAATAAACGTACAAATCTTGGTAATATATATTTTGAAAATAGATATATTATTATAACTAATAGTAAGAAATTATATGTAACTTGATTTACAAAAAAAAATGGCACTAATTGAGGCATAATATACGTTTTTTAAATATTACAATACGAATCTATTATACTAAAATAAAATTTTTTAGGGATAAGGAGGAATCGAACCCCAACATAAAGATCTGCAATCAATTGGCAAAACCATTTGCAACTTATCCCGATAATATTATCATATTAAAACCTTAAAACTGATTAAGATGACAACATTCAAGATTATTTCTTAAAATTGATAAAATTTACCAATTATCGCAATAATCTTTTAATTTTTTTTTTTTATTTTTCAATAAATGTAGTTGAAAAAATAACATTTTAGACGAATACTTAAATATTATTATTATAAACTTTGTAAATAAACAAACAAATCTTAGTAATATATATTTTGAAAATAGATATATTATTATAACTAATAGTAGAATAAGTTATGTAACTTGATTTACAAAATGGTAATAAATGTAAATTAAATTATAATGTTGTACTTTGTAAAGGTAAGCTTACAAATGCATGAGGTTTAGGTGGACTTTGTAGAGATCATTCTAAAGAATTATAATTTCTATTAAATAATATTTGGAATAAATCAGAATAGAATTCTGGTGTTATTCAAGGATATCTTGATGCTACTTCACCTTCAACTAATTGTGCATAAACTATATATAAGAATAAGAAAGTAGCAACTACACTTACTATAGATCCAAAACTACTTACTAGATTTCATCCAGCAAATGCATCAGGATAATCACTAATTCTTCTTGGCATACCTTGTAAACCTAAAAAGTGTTGTGGGAAGAATGTAAGGTTAACACCAATAAATAATATAAAGAAATGTACTTTTCCTGCTAATAAATTATATTTTAAACCAGTTATTTTTGGTATTCAGAAATATCATCCACTAAATAATGCAAATACTGCACCTAAAGATAATACATAATGGAAATGGGCTACAACATAGTAAGTATCGTGGAATGCAATATCAAGAGATGCATTAGCTAAAACAACACCACTTAACCCACCTATAGTGAACATAACTACAAACCCTAATGCAAATAACATTGGAGGTGTTAAGTAGATAGTTCCACCATAAACAGTAGCTAATCAACTGAATATTTTAATACCAGTAGGTACAGCTATTATTAAAGTAGCGGCTGTGAAGTAAGCTCTTGTATCAACATCTAAACCAACTGTATACATATGATGGCTTCAAACTACAAAACCTAATACTCCAATAGACATCATAGCATAAACCATACCTAAATAACCAAATACGTTTTTATTTGAACCTGTTGATATAGTAGTACTTATTATACCAAAACCTGGTATAATTAATATATAAACTTCTGGATGACCAAAAAATCAGAAAAGATGTTGGTATAATATAGGGTCTCCACCACCTGCTACTTCAAAGAATGATGTATTAAAATTTCTATCTGTTAACACCATTGTAAGACCTCCGGCTAAAACAGGTAAAGATAATAATAATAATACAGCTGTTATTAATACTGCTCATCCAAATAAAGCTAATTTATGTAGTCTTATACCAGGACTTCTCATATTTAATACTGTTGTAATAAAGTTCATAGCTCCAAGTAAACTACTTATACCTGAAATATGTAAAGCAAATATTGCTAAATCTACACTAGGTCCACTATGACTTTGTAAACCGGATAGAGGTGGATAAAGAGTTCATCCTGTACCTACTCCATTTTCTATCATACCTGCAAATAAAAATAATGCAAAACTAGGTATTAATAATCAAAAACTTATATTGTTTAATCTAGGAAATGCCATATCTGGACCTCCTACTAATAAAGGTAATAAAAAATTACCAAAACCTCCTATTAAAGCAGGCATAACCATAAAGAAGATCATAACTATAGCATGAGCTGTAATTATACTATTATATAATTGATTATCTGCTATGTATTGTACACCTGGTCCTGATAATTCTAATCTAATTAAGACTGAAAAAGCTGTACCAGCTAAACCTGCAAACACAGCAAACATTAAATATAATGTACCTATATCTTTAGCATTACATGATAAAAATCATCTTTCTTTTCACATAGTTATTTGTGTAATTGAACTTAGGTTAAATCCTGATTGTGAAGCTTTAGATGCTGCTTCTGTAGAATAACTTCTTAATATACTTTTCATACTTTATTTTTAATTTTTATTTGAGTTTTTAAAATTTTCCATATATAATTTATATCACCTTATTATATATAAAAAAATTCTTTTACTCTTTGCTTATGATTACAATAATCAGTTACAAATAATTTATTATATTACAAAATCATACTACTTAACTATTATAAATATTTAGTTAAGTATCAAATATTTTAAACTATGTTGGAGCGATTCGAACACTCAATAATAAATACCAAAAATTTATGACTTGCCTATTAGTCGACAACATAGAACTTGCCTGAATAAACAAGAAATATAGGTGACAAGACTTGAACTTGTAAAGTTATTCACTATTCCGTCCTAAGCGGAACCTGGTTACCAAATTTCAGCACACCCATTTGTTGCTCGAGATAAGACTTGAACTTATAACCTAAACATCTTCAGTGTTCCGCTCAACCAATTGAGCTTCTCGAGCTTTTTTAAATTTAATAAATTTGTATAAATATATTTAATTAAACTGATCAGTAAGATTTTAACTGACACAATTCCTTTAGAGTTTATCTATTAACTTATACTAGGTATAATATATATATATTTACTAGTAGAAATTTAACAATATTTTTACAAAATATTGTTTATATTCTATACAATATGGAGATATCAGGAATCGAACCTAAAATGACGAATTGCAAACTCGCTGTTTTACCAATTAAACTATACCCCCTTTTTTAAGACTAATATATATTGTATCCGAAAAACGATTTGAACGTTTACGATTAATATCAACGAAGCTTAAGTTCGTCCTGTCTACCAATTCCAGCATTCGGATATTTAGATTTAATTATAATGTAATAAATCGTTTTGAATCTTTTTTTTTTCTAAGTTATTAAATATATGTCTTTTTATAATAACAATAAGTAGGAGTAATTTAGTTATTAAATTTATACTTATAATTTTAGTTTATATTTAAAACAAATATACCTATAATTTAATTTCAAATTTAAGCCTAGTAAGGCCAGAGTGATTTGAACACTCATCTTAACTGTCATGAGCAGTTAGCTTTACCATTAAGCTATAGCCTTTAAATCCTATAAAAGATAGTACGCCTTTAAGATGATTCGAACATCTAACCGATATATTAACAGTATATTGCTCTACCATTGAGCTATAAAGGCATTTATGGGAGGATACCCTGATTTGAACAAGGATAAACTATGCCACAAATAGTTGTTTTACCCTTAAACTATATCCACCTTTATATATAGCTTATATAAGAGATATAAAGTTTAACCTACTTATTAATTAATTAATTTGTTTATTAAAAATATTGAGAAATAAGTGAGTCGAACACCTGACCATTCGCGTGTAAAACGACTGCTCTACCACTGAGCTAATTTCTCTTTAATAATATGCGGACTGAGGATTTGCACCTCAATCTTTCGGTCATGAGCCGAAAATGTTAACTATTACACCAACCCGCGTTTAACCCAGAAGAGATTTGAACTCTCGTTTTAACAGTGAAAATGTTATGTCTTAACCAACTTGACCACTGGGTCTTAGCCTAGTGTAAGTATTGCACTTACTTCTACCGATTACAAAACGGTAACATTACTTTTATGCTAACCAGGCTTAAAAAAAAAATAGATAGTTGTATATTTTAGTAAAATATAATTATTAGTACTTTATGCCTAAAGACTTTAAAATCCGTACAGCTAAAGCCTAATACGTAATGTTTTATTACGTATATATGAGTATAATAAAGTAAGTTTCGTGCTTATATGCTTTCAGCTCTTATCTTTCACTGACGTGGCTTTCTTGCCATGCCTATTAATCATTAAAGGTATTTTAGTTAAAATACAGAATTAATAAACAACAAGTAAACTATAGGTCAATATACCCAATTCCTTTCGTACAAAGGGGCTATCTTTATTTTACTCAAAATTCCTCTAGAAGATAGAAACCATACTGTCTCACGACGTATTAAACCCAACTCATGTAGCTCTTTAATCGACGAACAGTCGAACCCTTCATGATTCCTGCGTTCATGAGGATGAGCTAAGCCGACATCGAGGTGCCAAACCGCGCACTCAATTTGTACTCTCTTGCGCTCATTAGCCTGTTCAATTTGTTATAAAATAAAAAAAAAATTTTTTTTATCCACATTTTTCAATATGGTTCAGACTATGTTTTCATATAAATATATGTATATATATAATTGTATAGTTATTTTATGTTAATTTCCACTAACTCAACCTTTTATACCAAAAGAACCTATACGAGATTTAGAATTTAATTTTGTGTATTGTAAATTTGAATTTAAATTACCTTTTAATAATACAGATGATAGACCTTTATAAGAAGAATCAAAATTTAATAAATTTCCTTTATATTTAACTTTTTGTAAAGATCTAGATGCAGTATATCTTTTATTTAATCTACCTTTTGCTTCTAATCTAAAACCAGTAATATGTTTATACTTAAGATTATTAATTATATAACTTTCTAATAAATTTTTATTATCAAAATAAGGTTTAATATTTAAATTTTTTTTTTCAATTAATTCACCTATTACTACTCTTTTTTTTTGTATTTTTACTTTCTGTTCTATTTTTTTTAAAAATTTTGATAAACCTCTTCTATTTCTTGTAATTTTTAATAATAAAGATTCAGAAAGTATATTACTATTTAAATAAAAATATTTTAAGTTAATAAAGTTAAATTCAATATTTTTATTAAATAAAAGCTGTAATTTATTTTTAAGATATTGTAAATAAGTATAATTAAATTTAGATTTATTTATATAAATTAATTGTTTGTAATACATATATATAATTAACTTTCTATAGGATTTTTTAATAAGTTTTTTGTAAAATTTATTAACATATTTACTTATAGCTAAAAATTTGTTTATTTCATTTTTCTCATTTAATTCTCTTAAAATTTTTAAAATATTAGGTCTAAACATATTAATTCTTTCTAAGGCTTCAAAACCTTTGGTATTAATTTTTCTTAATTTTTTTAATAGAATTAGTCTATTAGCTAATCTATTTTCTTTTAGAGAAGTGATATCTAACATTTTTTTAAAACTAAATGTTTTTTTAAAAAAATTTTTTAAATATCTTTTTTTTAATTTTAATAAATAATTATTTTTTTGTCTATTATAGATATATAAAGTAATTATTACTTTATTATTTGTGTGCTTAAACTCACCTTTACTTAGAAAAATTCTACTTGTAGATATTTTTCTAAATCTTAGCGCTAAAGCTTTTCTTCTTAATTTACGTTCAACATTTTTATTATACAAATAAAAATAATTTCTAATTATTTTTAATGCTAATTTACTTATGTTAGGTATTAAAGGTAAAGTATTTTTATTATATGAAAAAATACTATTATCTCAATTCCTTACAGAAGAAGGAAAATGTTTTATAGTATCTAAGTTGTCAAAAAAATAAGGTCTATTTATGTTTGTTTTTTTTATAACAGATATTAATTTCATTATATTTTAATTCAAATATTTATTGTTTAATATTTTAAATCTATTTCATTAATATAAATATATATTAATTATTATTGTCTATATATATACATATATGTTTATGGTGGATTTTTAATTAATATATCAATATTTAGTCGTTGAACGTTCTTATTCGAAAATAAGTTTCGCTTCAAATTAACTATAAAATTATAGTGTTTTTTGAAATTTATCCACATAATTACCAATATTTATAAATATTGGGGGACTAATAAAAAAATCCCTAGCGTAACTTTTTCAAAAATACAAGACCTTTCCTTTCAGTATCTTGCGATCTTATGCCCCGCTTACGCGACTGATGGACTTGTAGGTCTAACAGTAAAGCAAGATTAAGCCATTAAACTTTAACAGTATAATTAAATATCATAGTATTTACATACTACAATTAAAAAATTCTAATTTTTTTAAAATTTTTTATACAACTATTCACCATATAGTCAAAATCTTACTTAAATAAAAAATATAAATATATTTAAAATAATAGTAACTGAATAAATTATAAATAATAAATAACAAATTAAAAATAAAATAATACGGAATATATTCCGTATTATTTTAGCACTTAACGTGCTAATTTTACTAATAGAATTTTGGATATACCCAGGTACTTTTTATGGGATCTGTGCCCCGCATAAACTGTCTTCCAATCAATCGAATGAAATAGAGTAAATAAAGGTGTCTCATGGTTGTTAAAAGCCTTTAAAAAATTAAATTTTTAAAGGTAACTACCTTATACACTTGGAATTCTCATATTTCAATCAAAATTAGTAACAGTAAAGCTGCAAAGGGTCTTCTCGTCTATCTAGAGGTAAGCAGTATCTGCACTGCTATTCCAATTTCACTGAGCCAATCATCGAGACAGCTGTTGTATCGTTACATCATTCATGCAAGACCGCATTTAACGGCCAGGGTATTCCGCTACCTTAGGACCCTCATAGGTAAGGCCGCCGTTTGTCGGGGTTTTCTTCAAAGCCTAACTTTTTAATTTTAAGCAAATCTGTTACCCAGCCGACACCGGGCAGACATCACACTCAATATTTCGATTTTTATCTTAGCAGAGTGCTCTGTTTTAAATAAACAGTCGTACAACACTATTCCATGCTTCCTCTTCCTAGGTTTAAACATATATTAAAATAAACAGGTTTAAACCTGTTTACTTTTAACAATATATGCTTATACTTGATAGGAATGGTACACCTTATCCCGAAGTTACGTGAGTCAATTTGCCGAGTTCCTTAATGATTGTTTGCTCAAACGCCTTCGTATACTCTACTAGCTTACTTGTGTTAGTATCTAGGTACGGTTGTTTTTATTTTCCTGAACTAATTTAACTTTAATTAGTTTTGTTAAAAATTTCATCGCATTATTTAAAAAAATTAATTATGCTTAGAAGCCGTTTTAATTAAATACCATAAGCTTAAGGCGAGATTTATCTTTTTCGTTACTCATGTCAGCATTATCGCTTGGATTATTTAATTTTTTAATCTTAAAAAGAATAAGTCTTAAATTTATCCAATGTTCCGCTACCCCATATATATTTTTTATATAAAACTATATATGGACAAGGTTTCGGTATATTATTTAGATCCGTTATATTTTCGGTGTGATCTTCTTAAAAATCAATGCTCTGTTACGAGATCATTAAAAAATGGCCGCTTCCAAGCCTATTAATTGATCGTATTCAAAGATACATCCTTAATTTCACTTAATAATAATTTTGGAACCTTATTAACTCTTGTTCTGGGCTGTTTCCCTTTTGACATACAACCTTATCGTACTATGTCCGATTTTTTAATATTCATCTTAACCCTTCCGAGTGCAAATACTCTCCGATAAAATCTTCACGATTCCCCGATATATACAAATTTATTTTGCTTTAACAAAATAAATATTTTGACCGAGATCACAGTTCTGTACCTGCTAAGATGTTACTTAAACTACCTACTAATATAGGTTTCGCGGAAAACCAGCTCAGCTAGTCAGTTTTGTCTTTCACTAACTTACCACTATTCTTCAGATATCTTTACAACGATAACCTGTTCGGACCTTTATAATCCTGATAATGGTAAGATCACTAGCCTCCGGGTCTAATTTTAGATACTTTCTCATTTTTTCATAATCGATTTCTCTAGGAACTTTATTACATTAATTTAATGTAATATTTATTCTTGCATCTAAAATTAACTTGCTGACCCATTATGCAAAAGGTACGCTCTTGTTATTTATTTAAATTTCACTTGAGCTGCTTATAAAATTACTATTAAATAAATTCCCTCACGGGACTATTCACTATTGCGTATAATACCATATTTAGCCTTAGAGGAAGGTTCCCCTTTATTCAAACAGATATTCCATTTTACTTATTTTTATTACAGGCTATTCTACCTTACTTCTCATTATATGTAGAATCTCGTTTGATTTATTTTCCTAAGGTTATTTAGATTTTTCCGTTCACCTTGTTTATTTATAAGATTTCTCTTAGTAAATTCTTTGGTTTATAGCAATTTATTCATAATAATCTCTTTTTATACTTTTGATAAATATATCAAAAAAAATATAATTTTTATACTAGACTTATATCATCTTTTTAATTTAAGTAGTCTTAAAACTGACTATTATTAGATTATATTCCTTTTTAATCTAATTATTTATTAATATATACTATTTGTTTTCAATTTTTTAATTGTAGATTATTTCCTTGTCTACTATCTATTTTTAATGCATTTTTTCCTAATTCAAATACAAAACCTAATGTTAATACTAAGAAAAATACTAACATTATTATTAATCCATATACACCATTAGTATATGCACTTACTATATAAGGATATACTAATAATATTTCTAAATCAAATAGTAAAAATA